CAGGGACGCCACAGCGCGCGGCGCCCTGACGCCCGCCGCCTGCGCCCCGGGCTGTCCTCGGTCTCTTCCACCTGCGCCCCGGGCTGTCCTCGGTCTCTTCCGCGGAGGGGACTTCCTCCCGTATCCGGGGCGGCCTGGCCCGAGGGCGCGCGCGCGCCAGAGGCTGCTCTGCAGTGGGAGGCCACAAGGGAGTCATCTCAAATCCCGATGACCTTGACCGAAGTCACCTGCCTTTTCTGGGCCACAATTTCCAGTTCTTTAAGATGAGAGCTCGTACCTGGGGTCCTCCGAGGCCGCTGCTGAACTGCGCGAGCTGGCGCGCGGGGAAGCGGCACCGTCGCAGGCTCTGCGGAGCCAGGTCCAGGCAGAGGCCGCAGTCGCCACTGACAGTCTGTCCTCATCCGCAGGCTTCCGAGGACGCTCTAAGCATCCCAAGTACCAAGCGACCTGCCACTTTCCCTCCAGCAGACACCACCAGTTCCCGAGTTCCTAAGTCATCCGTTTCCAGACGCCATCAGGGTTTTTCCACGCACCTGGTCCAGGTGTATCAGACTGCAGGAGAAAGCATTATTATGGTCCAAAGTAGTTTTATATTTAAACAAATGTTGCTCACCAACAATGTGCCAGGAGCCGCAGCCTATTGTTTTATTTAATCTACACAACCCTGAGGGTGTGGTGAGTAGAAAACATTATCCCCATTTTACATTATCCCCATTTAAACTCACGGAGTTTAAATGACTTAACCATCAGTAAGCGGCTAAATCAGGATTCAAATCTGACTTTGTCTAATGACAATACAATCGTGTTTTCTACTCTAACCAATTTTTCTCATAAAGCTTCGCCTTTATTCTCATTAAATATGCCCCACCGGCTTCCTTACCCATTTCAATGTACTCGTTCATTAGCAAACGGGCTCAGAACTTAAGAAAATCAAAGAAGGAATTCAGGCAGGCTAATCTAACGATTTTTTTTTTCTGTTTCGTGAATTTGAAAATAAAAGACGCCAAAGCCTGCGGATCTGATACTAAAGCTTGTTATGTAGAAAGAAACACCATTAGTATTATATAATCACTACACTAAACCAGAGACAGCCAGGTGATGGAAGTTCTTTGGGTTCAAAAATATGGGGGCCTGAGCTTTGCTCGAGGCTTTGAGATACAGCGAAGTGTCCTCACGGAAGACACTTTTTCTTCAGAGCTTACTTTTCTTACCTGTAAAAAGCCAGGGTTGGAGATCTCCACTCAGGTTTATAAAGAAAGGTACGGTCTCGCGAACCCACCTGGGTGCAATGGAGGACGAGCGCCACCTAGCGGGCATCCCTGCGGGATGCGTGGCGTATCGACCTAGGAAGGAATCCAAAAGAACGCATCGGTTTTACAAAACGGAATGTTTTTCTGTTCGTTTTGTTCTCCTTGCAAAAATTTCCAATTCATTTGTCTTTCTCTAGTCTCTTTCATTCACTTAATAGTCAAAT